TTGTAAAAAAAATAGACATACAGAATATTTTTAGAAAATAACAGTACTTTAAGCATGCATTTTCCACATATTTAACACAATAATTCATTCTAGCTCTGTTGCAATACTGGCAAAGGTACTCCTCTGTTATTAGGAGGACGGGATTCAGAAATGTACAATGAAACCTCGAGATATACGAGGAAAGTATGAGCAAAATACGAGCATTCACTCGAGTAACGAGCAATGAGCCAGGCTGTCGGTATGGGTGGCGCCATTTTCCTATCCGGCTCAACTCGGGGAATCCCCTCGTCAGATCACTCAGTGTTCTTATATATACGTGTTTGTGTACTTGCAAGTTAATTGTTTTGACATTTAACATGAAAATAATTATTTCAAGATGCCTCGCAAGAAGATTGTTGCCTCAGATAGTGCTGCAAAGAAAAATAAGGAGGCCATGGCCGTCGATATCAAGAAAGAAATCATAGATAAACATAAGCATGGTGAGGGAATTGGCGAAGACTTGCGGCCTTTCAACATCGAAAATCTACACTATTCTGAAGAAGCAGAAAGAAATTAAGAAACTTGATTTAGCCAAAGGAATGCTGGAATGAATTAAACTCATATCTCGAGGTTCCACTGTAGATATGTAAGTGATACTTACGTATTATCGCAACCAGGTTGGCGCGATTTGTAAGTTTGAGTAAAAAAGTTGAATAGAAAGAAAATGTACATTTATTAATTACAGATAATTTTTAATACAGTTTTTTATGTTATTTTGTTTAAAATTATAAAATAGCAATTAAACCCTTCCATTTCGAATTTGAATAAGTTGCAGAATTATTTTTTGGTGAAAATTTTGGCTATTGCTTTTAGCACTGATGATTGAAAACCGTCTTGCCATTAAAGCTTGATTGGCGATATATTTCGATAAGGTATGGTCAAGATGATGACGGGCTGTTTTATAAGTACGTTCGTTCGGTATAATCCATATTGAACAATTCAAAGCTTTTTTACTCACAGGCAGATCCCAAATACCCATAGAAGTTCATCAATACCAGTAACGAAAAAACGTTAACACGTAAAGTAGGGTCGCCTGGGTTTATGCAAGTAATATGTAAGCATGTATATGCATGTATATGCATGTATGTGTATAAGTATACACATACATACATAAAGAATATACACATGCACACACGAGCACCTACATTTAAAAATGCATGCATATAAACACACATTTCTGAATCTGGTCCTGATAACAGAAGAATACCTACATGAATCATAGGATTTACATTAATAGTTATTAGAATTCTTAAATGCAGAGATTTACATTAATCAGTTTTATTAGAATTCTTAAATGCAGAGAATTTCATCTTCACTATCCGAAAATTCAGTTTCATTTCCAGCTGAAACTGTATCAGGACAATCTCATTTATATTATTTCCCTCTAACAACTGAACATTTTTAAAACCTTTTCTATTCCATGGAAAACTAATGCTACATTAAACATACATTTTCTAAATCTGAAAATTTTAAGTTAGCTTAGAAACTGTAATCATTCTTAAAAAAGTTTGATTTATGCAGATGTTAGATCAATAAAATTACTTTCCTGTGAAAAAGTAATATGGCGTTGAACAACATGATTTTACACATCAAGATATACTGAGTGAAAATTCCTGAAATGTTTTATTTCTTGGTATCTCACTGTGCAAGAATTGTATAAATAAGACTACCTCCCTTTTTTAAAAAAAAAAATGTTTAGTAAATACTATGAAGAAAATTGGTTACATTATTTACAGTTCATAATTAATAGAAAATAAATCATTTCTTAGCTTATCAGAATTTATTTTTATCACATTCATAAACAGTACTAATTTAAACAAACATACCATTATGATTTCAATAACTATGAAATAGAAAATCCAAATCTGCATCTTTGATGGTCTAGTAGATTGGACGTCTCGTTTACTACAATTCAGCAGGGTGCTGACTCCCCAGACTGTAATATATATATATTTAATTTACAAGGGAAAAAGCAACAAAAATATAAACAATTTCTTGGTTTTATATAAGCATTTCTGCACATTTACAATTTTAATTTTTTTAACTATCTAGTTATATCAAAATACATGATTTAGTAAAATATAATTCAAATAATTTAAGGTATTTTAGATCAAATACTAATTTTTCAATAAATTTTTTCATGCAAGTCTAATAATCAACATAACTATCAAGTTTTGACTTCGAAAATTATGTTTAGAGAAACCTGAAGCTGCAGTAAATAGTAATAAATTTATTCAAAACTGAAAGTAAAGCATTCTTACTTTATTTTCTTTCTTTAACTATGGCAGATCTTTTAAAACAACAAAATCAAACAAACAAAAAAGAAATGCATTCATGAAAGGACTTAGGACTTACTTATTATTCATGAAAGGATATATTTCAGTAATTACAAGTGCATGAAAATTCAGTATATATATATAAAAAAAATTAACACAGATTTGGAACAAAGTACCTGTGTTTCTATCGCATAAAATTTCCTTTTTTAATAGCACAATATCTTTGAGTTAAAGATTATATATTAAAGCAAATTTATAAAACTAAATTCAAAAATAAGAAATTAAATTATTTTTAGGGAAAACACTAAGCAAATAAAAAATTTTGAATTTCATAAATAAATGAAAGTTACATGCTTTATTTTTTGGCATAAGGTAGATAATATTTCCAGAACAGATTTCTGAACAATTAGTCATGTTAATATTGCCTTTCTTTTTCCATTAAAAGCTATTTCCTGCTTAATTACAGTATGCTTTAAGATAAATATTAAAACGTTTGAGTAAAAATAATATAACTATAAAAAGGTGAGACACATACAAACAGGAGTGACACAAACAGTAAGAAACAGACTAGTGCAAAATTTTTTCAATTTATTGATTTGGTATTCTATGTCATTAACAGTACCAAATCCTGAAAATGAATCATTAGGCACGTACACAAAAGAACAACACATGGAAAATCACATTTCCTACACAGACGCTATTTATAAAATTTTATATAGGTGAAGAAAGTACGAGTATTAAACACTGAAAATATAAAATATTCACTTACTTTCTTCAAATAATTAGTAACATCGATGGATTCAGTCACAAACGCCAATCCACGAACAAACAGTATTCTTTGCGACTTTACCATTCTTTTCGACCGCCATTGCTGACTTCACAAATATCCCGCCACAACCGGAAGTAGAAAGTGTCTGCTTTGCCATTGGTCAGTGAACAAGAATTGCAACGCTTTTTTTTTTTTTTCTTTATAATTAAACATATTAAGAAAGCCTCTAAATTAGCATATGAAATAAACTTACTTTTGCATTATATAAATTTATATTCACAGCATCTCTGTATTAAGGTAATAATTAAATTTTTCTACGAAAAATAGAAATGTCTGTGTATGCGCATGCTCAGTGTATAATCGTAAATCCGGTTAATTTTTTATAAGTTAGCGTAAAATTAACTATGTAAATTTTGAGTTCATTTAACTGGACCCTTGTACTTATTCTGTAGATCTCCATATTAAGAATGTCTTTAACTGTTTCAGGAAAAATATAAAATATAATATAATTATTTATTTACATTATTTATTTAATTTTTTCCTCATATAAAAATTATTAAAATCGCTATATCATTTTTCCGTACATTAAACAAAATTTAAAAAATGTTAGCCTCATATGATTTTTATAACAAAGATTAAAGGAACTGAAATATATGCAAAATATCAGGATTCAGCTTGCAATTTCGTAGAGTTATTATTATTATTATTAAATAAAAATATTAGTATATCTTTGATTATAATTAATGATCCTTTGGTCTACATTAAACTATTGTTCAAGAAGTTAAACATTTTCAAGCATCTTCTGCTCTATTTATTATTCTATTCCTCGACATGAAAGATTTGCTAGTCTTATTCCAATTTAATTGCCCACATTTGCTAAATAAAATAAGGCGAGTATTGTACCAAACTCAGTAAGTACACAAATTTAATATACAGCTTATTCCAGTTAAATGGGTAATAGGATTTTCATAAAAGAAATTAAATTGTGTAAATTAATGTAAGTGTTGATATGAATAAAAATAACAAATTTGATATAAGAAAATAAATAAGTTATTTTGAAGATCTTTGAATTAAGAAAATATAATTTTTTGCAAAAATGCACGTAAAGATTTAGCTCACATGTTAAAATTTATAGAAAAATTTTAGCCTCATATATGAATGCCCTCTTTTTTCATGTTCGTGGAAAAGGAAAACAAAGTGAAATGCCAAAAATGCACTAAATATTTTGAATTAATAAACTTCATTTTCAATCTTTTTAGACTTCGTATAATATCCGTAAAAGTGACGAATGAAATATACCATAAAGGCAGTAGTTTCTTTCAGAACATTCGGATTCGTATAATATGCGTAAAAGTGACGAATAAAATATACCATTATGGCGGTAGTTTTTTCAGTACATTCGGATTCGTATAATTTTCGTAAAAATAACGTGTGGAAAATAACGATAAAGAGTCAACAGTAACTTCAGCCTTTTTCATTCGTATAAATTTCGTAAAAGTAACGTGCAAAAAATACCATACCCTTATTTCACCAAAATTTATACGTATATTTTTGGAGACGTGCTGCCTGCGTAGATCCCATTTTTTAAGATGGAAACGTGTTAGAATGATAGTGTATCCACAGATTGAGAACAGCTTTTTTTCTTGATAAAAATATTAATTTCACATAATTTCATTAGTAAATAATGCAAATATGCTGTATATTATTATTTCTATTAACTTGTTGCAAAATTTATTAAAAATGTTCTTGAAGCGTGTCAAGAAGTTAATTAAATGGTGAATTTTCGTTGATATGTCAATATTTGGTGAAGTTTAGGACCAAAATTAAATTTTTCAGAGCTTTGAATTTCATTAATTGGTCCCTGTAGCTAAGGTTTGAGAACTGAACTTTTTGAGTTAATTAGAAAAGTGAAACTATTATTTCAATTTTATTGTCACTTTTATCTTACAAGTACAAATTTCATAAAGAAATATGCTATAATTAACTGTTAAGAAATAATGCAATAAAAATGTTAAATATGCAAAAAAAACTTACCAATCTACTTGAAATACGATTCATCATCAAGCGTTCTGGAAGGTCCATAGTATTTGCAATTGCAAGAACAATCAGCTTTGAATTCTTTTTAGAAGGCCAATCAAATATATTATACATCACAGTTTGTTTCCTCGTCCATAAACGATCCAGTTCATCCACTAACAAAACAACAGCATCTTTCTTAGGCCCTTTTTCTGTGAAACGCTTCTCTAACAAATTAGCAGCTTGTTGAGGAGCTATAGTTTCTCCTGTGAGAGACTATAAATTTAAACACTGTTACTATGAGTTTAATTTCAGTTCATTTGTATGCGCTTACATTATAATAATCTGATTACATTGCATTTAAATTAATTCTAAAGAAAAATTATAAAAAACTGTTGTGCTACTGAATTTATTGAGTGCCTAAGGAAACACCAGTTAGTAATGAAATATGTCATAAATATGTCATAAATAAGTAGCTCGACACATCAATTTCTAATTGCAGACTGCTATCTTTAACGAAAGGAATAAAGGGTTAAAAAAACAGCATGGACTTTTAAATTTATCAAACAGACTCTTTTTTTTTTTTTTCCCACATTTGCTGTACTGAATTGTTTGGGTAATATACAAATGGTCCATAACAGTTCTTGTGGAGCGAGCCTTTGTGTTTTAATTCATTTGCTACAAACATGCACTTCTAGTTATAAAAATGTTTAAAATGCACGAAATATTCATACTGTAATATTTTTTATTTAAAAAATCAATTTTATAAAATTATGAACTCTACTTTTTCTTATGGCCCTCTGGTCTCTAAAGGTATACATAGTAAGAGTTTATACTAATTCTAAAAACTAAAACCATAAAAAGTTTGATTTCTTTATTACTAAAAAAAATTGACTAAGACATCTAATTTCAAATTTTGGGATGTTTTAAGATTTTTCAGTGCAAAAAAACAACCTTTATAGCTCTCCTTGAGGAGTCAGTTAAAAAATAAATTAGGATAATTTGAGGTTAAGCTTTTTTTCAAAAAAATAAATAAATAAAATAAAATTACTACTGTATAACATCTTTAATTTATAATTTTGTTATGTTAGAAGTATTTTCATGCAAGTAACTTGTTATTAAAATATATTAACATATTCCCTGCCACCAATGTGCTGGTGCATCAGAATGATGCCACTTCGCATGCAAGTGATGCTCTGGGACAGTGACCGACTACTGTATGGCATACAGGTTTTATTTTTAGTGTGGGCCTGAAAGCTGAACAAAGACATTGTTTAGACAGGTTAATGAAGCATTATTATTTTTTAAGTATGCGGTTTTTTAAATTTCATGTTTGAATTTTTTTATGTGCATTTTAAAAAAATGGCAGAGAATACAAGGCAGGACCTTACAGCTCAAGAAAAAGAAAATAAATAAAAAATTGACTGATGCTGAAATATTAGAATTATTATTAAAGAGTCCTGATTACCAGAGCCCAGAAGATGAAAATTACAGGTACTAAACTACGAAAATGTGATTCAGTAGGAAGATAGTGTCAGGGAGTAATGATCAGGAAATGGAAAGATAAATGCAAAGTCTGTTATACTTCTACGGAGTATAAAAATGAAATGATTGAGATTTCAAATAAAAGAAACAAAATAAAACAGAAACCTTTGTCAATAATTTCCTATATACTGTTCATTAATAATTCTCTATAGTGTCGATTGGCAAGATTAAATGCTGTCATTTTATCTCTGTGAGAGAAAAGCTCTACGCTGGTATAGAAAATCGTTCTTTCACGTTATTTTGCAAATGTAATCAATTCACATGACCTTTATAATAAATATTCTGGAAGTGAAACATCACTTTACAACCATCAATTGAACATTTTAAAATCACTTGTGCCATCAATGAAGGAACAACAAGATGAGTCCACAGAATATGAAACATACTGCTGAGAAAAGAGAACTTGGAGCAGTTAAACAAAAATACAGCAAAAAAAGCAAAACAAAAATGACTATCACAACAAACACAGAAACACTGTGACTGCACACACAGACTACAGTATTGCTTGAATTGCTGTGAAATATACTATAAATAATATGTAGTAATGCAGTACTATTTTCTATACAAATGACATTTTGTTTACAATAAGTTTATAAGTTTTGTACACTTTTCATGCTTTACTATAGATTGATTATGCATTGTATATAATTTGCTACATTTTACATCTTTAGAGCTGATCATCTGAGGTGTAGGTATATGTGTATTTTTTATAATTTATATTTTGCTTCAACATTTTGAAATAGTAGAAATAATTCAACAATGCCAATACCTATATTTTCTGCTTGTTATTTAAAAAAAAGTCCATATTTTTTCATAAATATGACTTTTTACTGCCCAATTATACATTTTATTTCTTTCAAACTGCACCTTTATGCAATATACAGTCAAAAGTCGTTAATCCGGAATGATCTATAATCTGGACCTCAAAGCTACAAACTTTCTGTGCATGCGTCAATGCATCTTGCGTTCACGCATGCGCATAATACGTTTACACATGCGTGTTTAATGTATAAGGTATAACCTAAGCTAAAATTATATAATTATCTATTTCAGTTAATGTTGCAGATTGCGTTGTTCCTTAATCTTCGAATTGGATCCGGCTTATTATTTTTTGCAGATTGTTAGAGCAATTTTATAAAAGTAAGCTTGAATTTCCGATACTGGAGCTACCAAAGGATCTACAAAGCGAAAGTACGTTTCGATGTCCATCAAACAAAAAAGTGGAATTGCTGCAACAAATGGATAAAGGCATATCCTTTATTTCTCTAACCATTCCGAAATCTGTTTATCAATTTCATGCTGCTCTGTAAGGGGGGACGTCGCGGCGCGCAATGAACTGGAAGTTGATCTGTCAGCACTATCCTTATCTTCAGGGCAGATGTTTTTATTTTATTCAGCTTATAATTCCTTACTAAACGTAGTATTTCATCTTGATGCATTCCGTCTTTGATACGATTTAAATCAAATTCCTCGTCATTATAAATATCACGAGTACACATCAAATAGTTTTCTGGTTGCAATTTTCTAATTTTGACTATGCGTAATGTATGCTTTACGCATGCGCGCGTTGAAAAAAATGTTTACTACAGTAAACAAATAAATATTAAGCTTTTTTTTTTTTTTTTTTTTTTTTTTTTTTTTTTTTTTTTTAATTTTGATACCCTTTAGATCATAATTGCTCTTTTATTTCATAAATTACGGTTTCATATTTTTAATTTTATAATTTCTGCATGCCATTATACCAGATTTAAACTGATGATCTATAATCCCGAAAAATCGATAATCCGGAATCACCGACAAGTCTGTATTAAAGTCCCGACAAGTCTGTATTAAAGACTTTTGACTGTATCAATAATTTCTTTCAATATCGATCAGACAGCAGAATAATTATCAGTGGCACACAGATGATAGGCTGAACTTGACTGCCAATGACGCTCTAGACCTAAATATGAAAACATTTTCCTATTTTTCTGGTTTTACTAGTAATGTATAAGGAAGATTTTTAACCATTAAAACACTATTGTAATCTGGCTCCTAAGAATGGAAATACTATTTTCACTAGCAGGAAATGTGTTATTAATATTTATATGCAGTTTCATTACTTTAGGTTTAAAAATAAATTATTATTATGATAAAAAAGTAATAAACAAAATTACTAGAAATATTTAATTTATACAAATATTGTTATAAGTTGCCTACATACCAATACTTGAAGCTGCCACTATTTTCTAGTTCTGTCCATAAATAATTAGAAAGCTTTTTTTTTTCAACTATATAGCTAATATTACTACTTTAATTATATTAGCTATTAATATTACTTTACTGTTTACATATTCTTAGAAACAAAAAATTTTATAACAGATCAGAAAGAACAGAAAAAAAAAAAAAAAAAGCCAGAGAATCTGTGCTTATCTAATAAAATCTGTGTTCATAATAAAATCACTGTAGGATAATACCTTAAATATTTGTACATAGCATTGATATGGATCTGTCAGCCACATTCCATTTACTTCTACAAATGAAAATAGAGGAACTTCACCAGATTCTTTCTCTTCTTCTAAGTTTCTGATCACTTCATGAACAGTTGCTGTTTTCCCTGTTCCCGGTACACCTGATATATACATGCATCTACATGTAATAAAAACTTTTTAGTGATACTGTCTATGCGAATCACAAACTAAAAAAGGTTTATATACAAAGAACACTCACATTCACTAACTGCATTACATGCTATAAGTAGTGTATGAAAATTCCATTATGGATCAAGACACTTTAAAACTTATTCTCTTCCCCTTTTTTTATTTCATGTACTGACCTATGATTATGTATTTTTTTTAACTTATAAATTAACAACAAAAACTATATATAATATATATATAAAGTGCTCGTACTTTAGAAATGAGTATCACATTACATATCATGTATTACTATATGCAAATTTCATTATGATTTTACTATATGCAAATTTCATTATGATTTTACTATATGCAAATTTCATTATGATTCTAGATATGTTTAAATTTTATGCATGCTTCATTTTTAATATTCTGTTACTGATCTCTTGACTATTTTTATTTCTGAGAAGAAGGAAAATTTATAGTTATTTTATGGACTTAATAAATATTTGATACTATTCCATTAGAGCAGTGTCAGTTAAAAATGTGCCAATTTTTCTGAGCCAACAATTGTTGCCAAATATAAAATTAAGAAATAATAATAGAGTTCAAAAGATTATAAAAAGTTAGTTCTGCAAAAAGTATTTTTTTTAATTTCATCATTAAAGAAAGTAAATTTTTCTTTTAGTTTTTTTAAGCTACAATATTCTACAATGAATAAAAAATAACAAAACAAAACGAAATTCAATCTAAACAGGTGGCATAAAATTACAAACATCATTATTCAATATCATAGAAAAAATTTCAGTTTTTGAATATAACCGATGCCACATGAATACTATCAAATATAATGATAAGCAGTGCCCCACTGACTTTAATTTCTGAATGGCAGTCATTAATGTTATAGCATAACAATCAGGAATGGTGACCAGAAAACATTCTTTGCTTTCCCGGCACAAACCACTGAATACCCATTGTTCCAGAAGAACACATCCATTGTTGTTTTTACTTCCTTGTACGAAATAAAAAGGAAGCATTGTAATCACAAAAAGTTTCAGGCAGCATATTTCAACGAAAATATCCATTTTGACCGCTTTTGAATGCAATTTAACGATATTTTTGCGCGATATCTGTATGTAAGGACAGAATAAAAGATTCTTTTTCTCAAAAAAAAAAAAAAAAAATTATAAAACTGCTTTAAAATGAATTCTGAAGAGAATTTTTTGTGGCGTCTGTACATATGTACATATCTCGCGTAACTCAAAAATGACTAGCCTCTCAGAATGTTGAAATTTTGTACATAGGACTACTATAACATGTAGATGTGCACCTCGTATTTTTGTTGCAATCGGCCGCACCAAACATATATAAATATATTTATATATATATCCACTCTGTTACCCAGCTCAGTGATCTCAGTTTCTTTACTCTTATATGTTTGTAAATTGTATATTTTTTGCTTTAAAATGATTGAATTATATTGTTCTTATTTTCTGGTTAAGGTTTTTATGCCTTTAAATCTGTATGTACTATTTTTAAAATTATAAACAATTTTAAAGTTGTTTAAGCGCTGCTAAGCCTAATAATTTTTTTGATGGCGGCCATTGCTTGTTTACATTTGAAACAGAGTAGTGGATTTGTTGCTAATCTAGAGAAACGTAGCTTCGCAACAACAAAGATAAGAAATTCATTTATTATTGCGAATTGAATCATGTTTAATCCTTTCTGGAATTTTTTTGAAGAAATAAGTGATTCAGATTTACTTCGTAATTTTTAGTACAGATATTTTGAGATTTTATATATTTTTGTCTTGTCAAGAAGTTAGAACTGAATTAATTGCATGAGAAATACTGAATCGTTTGTGAAAAACTGTTTCTTTTTAGTTTTGTTTGCTTAATTTCTTTTATACATCGTTCTAGCTTTATTATAGTATTTGAATAGAACATGTGGCAACAATTAGATAATTTTTTAAATGATATAAATTTTGTTCTGAGTTATAATATGAACGAAATATAATACTGTTTAGTGAACCTAGCGCCAATACTGTTTAGTGAACCTAGTGTCGCTATGGTAAGCAAATAGAATGGATTTTAAAGAATGCATTTATTCTATTGTGGTTTATGCGCTGTCGGCGAAGTAGATTTAATTCAATCCAATAAGTTTAAACGAAATGCAAGAAAAAAATTCGCATAATTTAATATTCCATACAAGGAAGTCATGTGGTGTACACATCAGATTTTTTCTTTTTGTGAAAAAGACCAATTTTATTTATTTTATGTAACATCAAACTATTTGCACATACATCCCTCAATTAGTCATTCCAATTTTACTGTCATATTATAGCTGATTTCTAACTGAAGTTGGCAAAATTCAATCGGCGTCAATTCTTGACACCGCAGATAGATAAAAAGAACGATATATAGGAAAGAAAAGAAAACTGAATCGTCATTGAAGAAACATGCAAGCCTTCAAACCATAATTTGTTTTTCACTCCTTTTTTTTTCACAACAAGGATGTACGTAACAATGCCATATAGGAGCTTTGTTCGAGTCAAAAGTTAACTTCATCGAATAATTTTGAGAACTAAGTCAATTGCTATGAATTATTCCTTTTTTTCTGAAGGAACCTTATGCAGCCTCTTTGTCATTAGGTAATTGTCAAAACTATCATTAGGTAATTGCCATCGTACTAAAAAAATGACAAAATTTGGCAGTAAAAAAAAAAAAAAAAAAAAAAAAAAGCAAGATGATATTTTAAACGAAAACTAGAAATCTCGAGCCTTGATATTTCAAACATTAAATTCTTGAGGCATGATATTTGGCTGGTTGCTGTAGCATTGTTTTCTTCTCATATTTTCCTTCATTTTTCAACTGACGCTGCTGTAATGGAATAGTACCAAATATTTACAGACTAAAAAAAATAAATGAAGATGTAAAACAGCTTATATGAAAAAGGATTTTTGAGCCATAAAACACTTAAAAATAAAGTTTTGGTTTGATTTGGTTTATGTGATTATGGAAAAACCTTGAGAAATATCTGCCTAAAGGAAGGGATGCCTTTGTGGATGATTTTATAAGAGAAACTGGCTAACATAAATGATACATATGGGAAAAACCACATAAACACACATGCAGCCAGCCCGTTCGCGGGATTCGAACGTCAGACCGAACTCCCAGTATTCATCGACTTTATCGCTCGGCTGTTGGTGGGCCCTTAAAAATAAAGGACATATTACCCTATTTCAATATATTGCTTATAAAAATTCAGTTTAAAATGCCTTTCCAGCTGTATTTAATAATTAAATATTGATACATTAAAAATGTACAACTTACTTTGTCTTTCCAAGTATGAAGAACATATCATAATCACAAGCAAATGGTAAGCCTAAATGACTGATTTTTTTAAAAATTTTTACTGCAAAATGACAATTAAAACATTCATTAAAAAGAAAAAAAAAAAAAAAAGGTTTAAAAGCTTTTGTTTTCTATAAGAATGAGGGGAGCTGAACAAAATAAAACATTTTGAGAGGGAGAAGGATTCATTACTTATTTCTACAATACAAAATGTATAAAAAGGGGACAAACATTTTTAATTTTAATGCATTTGTCTCTGAATTCAACCATGATTTCTGCTACCATTTGTTTCTTTTCAATAAAATTTTAAATGTGGATTAATGTAAAAGTAAGTTCAGAACAAATAAATATTTTGTCATTTAACAAACAAAATTCACATTATCTTGCATAATACACAACACAGTCACAGTATCTGCTGTGTTGCATATTGCGTGCATACATTCCTAGTTTTCCAGGCAGTGTGGCAACCCTGTTAAATCACGTAGAAGAAATAATAAATATTTATATTTTTCAAAATGATTTACCTCCCCCCCAAAAAAAATTATACAACAAAGGGACATCCAAATTTTATTAGTAAAGATCACATGCTGTCATTATTATTAAGCAAAACCTGATAAGCAAATAAATTTGTGCATAATTAAAACATAAATAAATTTATTTACTAATCAAATATGTTTGCAGAATTATTACATGCAGTTTTTGTTTTTTGTTATTCAGAATCATGCATACATGCAATTTTAGTTAGATAACTTCGCATCAGCAAAGTCCTGAATATGGCAGATTATCAGACTTTTCCTTAATTATACATCACTCATTTCAGTATTCTGAAAGTTTTTATGCATTGTTATGTTAAAAGAAAAAAAAAAAAACTATACTAACCCGCCAGTTTGTGCACACAAACATCCTTTCACGAAACTGTAAATATCAGAATATTCTTCTTCCCGACAAGGAAGTGATTTCGGCACAGCTGAAACATGCAGTCTGCAATTGGCATAAGAATTGCAATATTTAGAAATATAAATTGGTTACAAGTATTACGGCCCAGAATAAATGAAAGCACTTGTTTGATACTGAAGTTAAAACTGAAAATTAAACACAATTTCATAAATCAATTTTCAAGCCACAAGAAGTATATTTGAATGAAATAATTCACAGAAGTCTTTACATACGCACAATCTGATAGTAAACACTTTAGAAAATAATATACGAGGGTTGGGGCAAAAGTCATGGCAACTATTTTTTTTCTTGTAGATATGTGAACGTATATGTGTCGTGTGGAAGTTCTGCAGGCATAGTGTGTATGCAGAACAACAGATGGCTCTGTGGCAGCGAGGGCTCTGAAATCAGTCAGTTGGTGAGTGTCGTGCGAGATGGAAATAACCCGTGTTGAGAAGCGCGTTTACATCAAAATAACCGTTCTCCGAGGAAGAAATGCGATGGAATGTCACAGTGAATTAGTAGAACCCTTGGGAATAATGTTCTATATATCGTACAGTAGCATGGTGGGTAGGAAAGTTTCAGCAAGGACGTGTGTGTCAACCAATTATGAGAAACGTTTGGGACGACCGGTGAGTGTGCGGACCAACTTGGCATGTGCCACCATAGAGCACCTCATAGATGAAGACAGACGATGGACATTACTGGAGTTAGAGAGGGCAGGTGGCATCGAGAAACGCACCGTCCACAGGATATGGCGTAATGAGCTAATGTCAGAATCCTTCCCCAGTCAAATGGATGATGATCGTCACATATGGCATCAGGGGTGTCATTGTTTGCCACTTTGTTCCTCATGGCAGAACAGTGACCACACAGTAGTACTACATGGACTTCCTGGTGCAACAGGTATGACGTGGCATTCGGGATAAACGTCCAGATCTTGTAGACAGTGCAGTAATTCTGCACGACTATGCAAGACCACATAAAGCAGAGTGTGTACGGCAGCTACTCCGACGTTGGGGATGGGAAGAATTGGAGCACCAACTGTGCTGTCCTGACCTTTCGCCCTGTGACTTTGATCTCATTTCCAAGATTAAGGAACCAATACGTGGTAGGCGATTTGCAACACAAGAGGCCATTGCTAATGCTGTGTGCCAACAGATGACCCGTTTCACACATGGTGCGGCAAATACTGAGGCTGATGGTATTCAGCGCCTCCCACATCGTTGGCAGCGTGTGGTGACAGCAGAGGACTACATTGAGTGTCTTTAGGCCCAGGTTTGTCATGTCAACTTTATGTGTATTGTGTTATTCTTTTGCACGGTGAAGACTATATTGCCCTGTATACTACAGTAATAAATTTGGGTGTTACTATATTTCAGTGCTATTCGTTGTCCACTCATGCAGTTAAGACCTTGTCTTTCCATCTGTATATGTCATATTTTTCAACGAGACTGGTATCTTCAAGAAAAAAAAAAAAAAGTTGCCATGACTTTTGCTCCAACCTACGTATTTGTATACATATCAAAAAGTAAGAAACACTTAATAAAACAGTACTTTTATGAGAGGAATATTTTTTTTTATTTATTTACAAATGAGCTATTTAGATCACAAGGAATTATTTGGATTCTTAGATGAATATACTTTAATATTTCAATTAAATACATTAAGTGAATCTTGATTAAAAATGTTTATATGTCTTTAAACCAAGTACATCCACTAGGAAACAATATGTGTGTCATGGCCAACGACTGTGGGTTCTTTTCATCTTTTATTTGTTATCAAGCATCAAATAAACTTGTACTTTTTAAATATTTTTATTCACAATATTACAACACAACAACTATATCTTTCATATATGTCACAAATCTGTTCTTAAGATTTTCTTTTATTTTTAAACCCATTCAGCACGTTCTGCATGATCTAATTTTAAATATAACACAATAATCATTCAGCATGATCTGTTTTGCTGTTTCTCTCTTCATTTCGCTGGTATTGGCATCCTTGTTCTCAATAGAGGGCATCCATGCCTCACATCTCCTCATTCAAGTGGGTGCCCAAACAATGTGATTAAAAAAATACTTTACTTGAAATTTGATTAAATGAACAATATCTTTCAAAGAAAAAAAAAACATTAATCATATATGAATACAAATATAGGTACTTAAAACAAGATTTTGATACTGGATATTATGAAGGTAAACTGCTTATAGGAAATTTTTCAATTCTTCATGTTCATAAAAGTTCAAATGTCTTCCCAGTGAGTAGCTGGTAGTCGACTTATAGCATCAACATTTAAGAATTTTCTTATCACTTTCTTCTTCAGGTGTTATACCAATATACTCTTTGATGACTTATCACAAGGAATAACACAAAGTACCATTTTATAATTTTCTTAACTGTCCTCAGAGGAGCTTTATCTTGAACTGTTATAACAATGACTGTTTCTCTAATTGGTTCACGGGCAATACAACTCAATCAATGTCTTTTTTCAATAATTTTTCTGGTTTAACTGGTTTTATAAAAACTTCTTTAGCAGATTCTTTTTCAACTGGATTTTTATTTTTCACAAATTATTTAGCACTGTTCTCATCAACATTATCAGCAGCAGAGTCTTGTTTGTCACCTTCTGATGAACTTTCCTCTTCTTCACTTTTATCTGATACAATTTTGTTCATCTACTTCCTTGGTGCAGATTCCTGACAAGTAGATTTATCTTCTCACTTTCTACTACTTCACTTATCTTCTTCACTACTACAGGGCTTTTATTAATTTTTCATTAATCTTCCGATTTTTGACTACTTTTACTTTAGATTCAGAATCAAAGACAACCCATTTACGAACTTTTGACTTTTTCTTTGGCTTTGTTTCCATGAATTATGCTTCACTCTCTCCAGAAGATGCTGCTTTCCTTTGCTTTGGGTTGCTCTTTTTTTTTTTTTTTTTTTTTTTCCCTGTGAAGGGAAGGGAGGTTCTTGACATTCTTCATCTCCCTCATCTAAGAACAAATTCTCTATAACTAATATTCTTTTCTGCAGTTCATCAAGGAACAGGTCTGTATATATCACTTCCTTCCTCATACGATTTCACAGACCATGAAATATTATGTTAGCTCAGAATTAATGATATTTTATCAGTATGACAGTGGCAAATTGTGTATCTTCATTTGACAGTTGGCACAAATATTGGTTCACTGCTACAGATGCCATCATCAACTTACACAGTTCGTTGGCATCTGCTGTGTTGCGTACTGCATGCATACATTTCTCTGCACAGCAATTCTTGTGCCTCAGAACCATCAACATCCGTGTCTACAATGGGTTCATCAACACAGCCACTGGCATGCTGATTGGCAACAGACTGTCTTTTCTGATGAATGCTGCTTCAATCTGGAGTACGATAATAACTGAATACACATTAGAAGCTATATGGATGAATGCCAACTTTAATATTGCATTATCCAGCATTATCCAGAATGACTGCCAAGTATGATAGCCTGAGATATCATTGAAATTGACTCTCAATCTCTCTGCTAAGAACTCAAAGTACTGTCATCAGCAACTACTAATGTCAGGGAAATTATGGAGCTGAAAGTCAAATCATTCACTGAACACATTCCTGGGGCCATGTTTCAACAGAATAGTTCTTTTATGGTGGAATGGAATTCTTTTATGTTGTTGCAATTTTTACAGGAAGGAATACATGCTTTTTTAAACATTAAGTTGCATAAGGAAAAAATACAAACTTAACATTACAGCCAATGACTTTGGACTTTTTTATCTTAATATGTACATAATTATCATTAAAAATGAAGTAACCATACATCTTTCCTGTTCCCTTGCCTCATATTATATAAGAAACACAAATGCTGCTTCTACAAGCAGGAGTTCCTGAAAATCCCTTTAATTCTAGTATCCCCTAAAGTTCTGGTGAAAGCAAAAAGCATATTTATGGAACAAAAACTGTGACTAATATTTTTAACGTTAGTGTTAAAAAAGAGATAAATTAAATCGGTCACTTTTATGGTGATAATCTACTTGTTGAATGTGTACTTTTGAAGTATATTATTTTTAAAGTAAAAATGCAGAATTTTTTAAAAGTTTGTTTGTATATAAGTTTACAAACTCTGTTTCATTAGTCACTTTTGACTTCCCTGTATTAAGTAAAAAACGTATTGTAAATGTAAAAAATTTCAGGTTTCAGATTTCAAAGGAAATATCCATTTTGACCATTCCTGAATACCTTTTGATTACTTTTTTTGCATGACACCTATACATACGGACAGAATATAGAATTCTTTATTCCAAAATGGATTTTTTTCCTGACATCCGTATGTATGTATCTTGCATACTCAAATAGGATTAGCCATAGAACACTCAATTTTTTTTATGAGACTGCTATAACATCTAGTTGTGCACTTCCCTTTTCTATTGCAATAGGCAGCACCAAAAGTATATGTATATATCCCCCACCCTCTTACTTGGCTTAAAACTTATTACTCAGCCTTTATTTTCACAATCATTGGTTGTAGTCATATACTTCCAGAAACAGAATATACAGAAATATTTTAAATGACGAAAATTTTCACGTTTTGACAATTTCAATTTAAAAAAAAAATGAATTTTGGACAAAGAAGGAAATTTAACTCTTAAGATGGTCTCCAGGTTCCTATATTTTTACCTGGGAAAGCTTTATACTTGCTATGAAAAAAGAAAAATACAAGTTTAACTCTTATGTGACAAAAATTAACCAGAATAATTAATTTCAAAATTTGCAAGATTTGATGCCATTTCTAACATGCCTTGAGAGACTAGTTAATTAAGTTAGAATAATTCGAGGAAATAAGTTTAAAATTAAGTAGAGTAAAAAAATGTATATAATTTAATAGATGCACAAGGAAGTCATGTGGTCTTCACATCAGTCTTTTTAATTATTATTATTATTAAATAAACATTGCCTTTTGGCTGCTCCTATTGAATTAATTACACTTAAGCAAGTAAAAGAAGTGTGTACTGCAGTGGCAAACGGTTCCTTCTTGCATATGT